CACTGCTAAATTAGGGACGGCTAGCGCAGATAGCCCCCGTGTAGCTTTGCGCGAAATTCCAAAAAGAAAAGAGAAAAAAAACACACATATCACTTTAGTTATTTCGTCAGCATTCACGAGATATTTTAGCGATACGTTTGTGACACTTCCGATGTTTCAAATTTGGTCATTAATTCGACTTTGATCACGAACAGTAATTAAAGCCCGTAAGAACAGCACTGAGTATGAGATTATAGTTAAAAATGAAATAAGGGCTACACACACAGGTTGTGTGGGAAATGTATTCTCACAATAAAGATTACACTGTAAACTGGCAAAACAATTATTATGATTTTGAAGGATGGGCAAAATTATCATCGAAAATATGCTATATCGAACTATCGTTTGTGTGTTATAATGATATCGTTCAGCTTCTTACAAGTCTTCCATCAAGCACGCTACGTGAGGATACTTATGGGAATGATCGAAATAACATGTATGTATTATGTATGTTTCAGAAAGCTGGGAGAAATTGGGGTAATTTTACATAACACTGAGGTGACGTATTCTGTGCTATGAATAGCGTCACACATATAACAGGGGGTTCGAAAACTTGGCGGCTAGTACAAGATAATGTTTTAACCCCATATGGTGGCCCGGTGGTTAGGGCACTCGACTCGCAATCTGCGGGTCGCGGGGTTCGAGTCCCCGTCACACCTATACATGCTCACCCGGTGTCCGGACTAGGACGCCAGTCCTACTCCCGGATACTCACCTCCACAAGAATTTGGAGGTGTGAGAAACACCATACGAAACTACTACTAACCCCATATGGTTTCATGTGAATTCCACACTATCTATTAAAAACCTTTAGACCAGGGTAAGTCTGAAGAAAACTAAAACAATTCTGGTTCAGAAATTAGCACACAGGATCACCTACAAAAGTTGTAACGTTTTTCAACTATTGTTCTTCAGGAGAATGAAGGGTTATGTTTAATGAGCGTAATGAAATATATAGGCATGGATGTCGACGTCACGTAAACCGGATGTTCAATATGAGTTGGCCTCAAGAACTAGCCAATCATAACCTAGAGTTGTTTGTATCAGGTTTAGTTTGTACCAAAGAGGTGTGTAAACTGACTTCAGTGGGATAATAGTTATAAGAATTGTTAACCAATTTCAATAAAGACAAGATAATAATAAAATAACGGCAAATAGGTGATGGGTAATAGAGAAAATAATAATGCAGCTCAACATATAGGAAATCAAACCAATACAGATAAATTTAAGGAATAATGATCCTAATAATGTAAAGTAAGTTTAATCATGAATTTAGTTTTGAAAATCTTTTCAGAGACTTGCGAATGGTCAACAATCCCGGGTTCGAGATTGATGCCATTTGGCGTTACAATATTCAATAGTTCTATCCAGTAAGTTTTTAAATTTCCCTGTTTCTGTTAGATGTAAAATTTGTTTCTATACCTGTCAGTTTAATGCCTTCAAGAGAGAGAGTGTCCAGGCACGTTAAAGTGTTTTGCGACCGGAAGTTCTTTGTTTGTTTTGATTGTTGATTTGTGGTTATTAAAACGTTCCCGTATAGTTGTTTTGGTTTCACCTACTTATTGGAAATTGTTTTTTCGACATTGGATTAAGTAAATAACATTTTTTTGTAGAGCAAGGTTATTGGTTTAGTGATTTTGAACTAAAACAAGATACTCTTTGAATAAAATCAAAGAGCATTTTCTGCCTTATTATATAGTCCTTTCTAAACATGTATCTTATCTTATTCAAGGGGGGTAAGTGCGTATTTTCAGTATAAAAACAAGGGGGCAAGTGTGTATTTTCAGTATAAAAGACTACAAAAGTTCTTGCTCCTTGTATTCTATGAAATATAGTTTTGGAAGTTGACGAGGGAACGACTTTACAGTATTTTTTAAACTGAGGTAAAAACAACATCAACAAACCATATCATAAAGTACAATTTTTATTTAAAGTTTTTCACAACGTACATTTTTTTAACCGTTACATGAAACATACTTTTCTGTTCCTTAATTTTTAGGAAAATAATTCAGCTAAATTTTGATCAAAAGGTCATTCAGAAAAAGTGACTTATTAACCACTTTATAGCAGCTACAGGACACCAAATCGTAACCACAGTAAGTAGCTTAATCAGGGATAATACTGTGACGTTTTTTGAATCAGATTTAGGGGCAGTTTTTCAGGCACAAGGGGATTCTATCACAGTTACTCTTCACCCTGAAAAGTTAGCTGTATATTTCAGAATGACAAACATAGAGGAATTACGAACCTCCGAGACCTACAAAGAAATTCCTTAAAAAGTAATAAACAACAGAGGTAGTTAAACCTAAATAGACATGTTAAAGGGGCGACTACATCAAAGTATGTAACCAACAAGGGTAACTACATCAAACGTATGTAACCAACAAGGGTAACTACATCAAACGATGTCACCAAAAAGGTTAACTACATCAAAGTATGTAACCAACAAGGGTAACTACATCAAAGTATGTAACCAACAAGGGTAACTACATCAAACGATGTCACCAAAAAGGTTAACTACATCAAAGTATGTAACCAACAAGGGTAACTACATCAAAGTATGTAATCAAAAAGGGTAACTACATCAAAGTATGTAATCAAAAAGGGTAACTGCATCAAAGTATGTAATCAAAAAGGGTAACTACATCAAAGTATGTAACCAACAAGGGTAACTACATCAAAGTATGTAATCAGAAAAGGGTAACTACATCAAAGTATGTAACCAACAAGGGTAACTACATTAAAGTATGTAACTCAACAAGGGTAACTACATTAAAGCATTTAATCAATAAGGGTAACTACATTAAAGTATGTAATCAACAAGGGTAACTACATTAAAGCATTTAATCAACAAGGGTAACTACATTAAAGTATGTAATCAACAAGGGTAACTACATTAAAGTACTTAATCAACAAGGGTAACTACAACAAAATATCCATATCAAGTTGGCTTTTGTAAGGTATAGAATCAACAAGGGTAACTACAAAAAATAACCAAACCACAGGGTAGCGATTGTAAGGTAATTTAATTTATTTTAATAAGGGTAATTATAAAAAAGTACCCAGCCCACAAGGATTGATGTAACACACAGTATGGTTTACAAACACAGATTGAACACAAAACTTAATTAACAGAGAATTAAAATGTGGTTCTATTTTAGTGTTTCTGGTGAAGTAGGTTTCATAAAACAGAAGAAACTAAAACAATCAATTCCAAAAAGCAGTGAATAGAATAAATTTTTCTTAGATTCTAGAAGCACAACATTTCTTATAATCCATACTCCCTTTGTATAGACAATGTCCTATGTATGTGGACGGTGGGATTAATATTTTTGTAAATGGCTAACTTAAAGCACTGTATATTTACCAACCTGTAATAAATTTTAAATTATTTGTTGACATGTTTAAATCCAGTCAAGCTTGCCTGGATAAAGTTTAAAATATTGTAACTTTGATGCTTGGAAGAAGAGGGTATTCTGCACCACTGTCAACAAGTTCATCGGAATCATGGAAATCAATATCGTTATTATAGTCTCTTTCCAAGCTGCTGTTATTGGTCACTACGTGGCTATTCTCTGCCACAATGCTAAGCCTTGCCCTTCGACAACTAGAAGTGGGGCTGGTCTCTCGAGATGTACCTGCAGAAGTTGACACAAAGTTGGGGAAGCCCAATGTGGACGTTTGGTGACTCACGGGAAGGCTAAAACAAAGAAAAATAAAATCATTTTGAAAGGTGATTTTATTAATTAATTTCAAGGCATGGTTCTTTTCACCCAGGAAATTACTGTGATTATAATCTGAAAGATAAATATAATCACACTGGTCCGGCTGTGATTATGTTCTGTGAGATACATATATGGGTCTTTATACTGGTCTGACTGTGATTATGTTCTGTGAGATACATATATGGGTCTTTACACTGGTCTGACTGTGATTATGTTCTGTGAGATACATATATGGGTCTTTACACTGGTCTGACTGTGATTATGTTCTGTGAGATACATATATGGGTCTTTACACTGGTCTGACTGTGACTATGTTCTGTGAGATACATATATGGGTCTTTACACTGGTCTGACTGTGACTATGTTCTGTGAGATACATATATGTACATATAGATACATATAGTAATAAGTGGCTCACACATATCCAATCTTTAACGTCCTTCAAAACCCCTGAGAAAATATTATCTGGTCTTATCGTTTTTTAAACTTCCCAATTTTTCTTAACCAGCTCATAATTAATGCAATCATCTTGTTTCCATCTATCAACTGTTTAAGATGTGGAATACTGCTTAAATCTTGATAAGTAAAAACAAAAGAAAAAGCAAAATTTAATAACCCAGCCATCTCATAATCATCAGATACTAGCCTTCCTTTATCATCCCTTAAGGGTCCTACCCCTATCCTAACATTTTGTTTACCCTTAATGTCATACCAGTCAATTTAAATTTCTTATGCTTTTCTTTAATTTTATCTCTTAAACTCGTTGTTAACCAACCTGGTTTTTTACTTGCAGCTACCATTTTCTTTCCATAAGGAATATGATTACCTTGGATATTTAAAAATTTATCTTTACAAATTTTCAACATTTGATCAGTGTCTCCATATAACTCATCTGCCCAATTCACAACAGATAATTCTTGTCGCACCCTTCCAAAATTGCTTTTTTGAAACTTGTAACCAAAATATCATTATTCCTTATCTCCATATGCAGCAAAACATTGAACTTAATAGAGCAATGATCACTTGCACCCAGATGTTCCCCAATATCCACCCTCTCGGTTTTTTCTATATTTGAAGTTAACAATAAATCAAAGATAGCATTGTTTCTAGTAGGTTCCTTGACTAATTGGTGAAGAAAGCCACCCTGAACAGTTTCGAAAAACCTTTCTCCCTTGTGGTTTGATGTTAGCATTTCCCAATCTATATGCCTGAAAATAAAATCACCCATAATTAAGACTTCATTAACAGCTGAAATCTTAATATCATTGTATTAATCATGAAATATTGTAACTTATCAGAAAGTTTTACAGAATTTGAGAGCATCTGTGAAGTTATAATATTCATAACAGTAGAATATGACATATTACTATTAGGAAAGGTTAGGCAGTATACTGGAAAAGAAAAAAATCTTTCTTTTATCAAAACCATTCAAATTAATATCATGATTAATTATTTTAATTTCTATATCTAAATAATGTGCCTCTACCTTATAAGTAGTTTTATTTTCTAATTCTACCAGATAAATAGTGTTAATCAAATTGTTTACCTCAGAATTACTTATATTAATTAAGTTATCTACGGGAGAGCACCCTAGCACTCTCTATGAGGATGGCGCGCACACTCGTATTAAAGCAATACAAAAGTATTCTTGATAAAAAGCTTGAGAAATTATTAACTTTTAATTAGTATTTCACAATATCTAAAACTATATGTTTTGCATGATCATTTTTAAAACTAAATTTGTTAATTTCATTAACTGTTGCCCTTATTTTAAGAAGGTTAAGTTTATAAATCTTGTTAAAAAACAAGTTACAAATATTAGTGCCAGAATAATAAAAAAATTATCTAAATTACCACAGAATTCTAGAAAATATATCCATTTTATTTTATTATTCCTATTACTTCATATTTTCTTATTTATATAAGAAAAACAACCGAAAAATAAAAAATGAGTAATACAGTTAATCATTACCCAAACTTAAAGCAGTAGAATTATTTAAATCTTGGTTTAATTCATGAGGATTTAATGTTTCTAAATTCAAAATATAGAAGTTATCTCAAGTTGAAGTTTATTAGTTTTATGTGTATGTTGTTTTATAGAAAATTTAACAGCTTTTTTTTTTTTGGTGTAAAGGCGTAGTGCTATCTATGAATGTAGTTAACGTTAACTTACGTTAAAGATAACAAATACTAAATAACAATAATCGGGGTTGAAGGGTTGTGAAACCGCAATAACATGCCTCTTGTTACAAATTATGATCCAACAAAGTTTGGTTGAGATTGGCTCAGCGACGTAGAAGTAGTTACATAATGGACAAACAGAGAGACAGATTTTTGTGATTTATATATATATGTGGGGTTCTTAACACTGGACTGACTGTGATGTGATTGTGTTTTGTAATATACATATATGGGGTTCTTCAGATTGCACTCACTCTGATTGTGAAATATTATGAAACTGTGCTCAAATATTAGATCAGAGACGAGGGTTTTACAGTTACTCTAAAAATTTGATTTATTCTTAACTTTAAAATCTCTTACGTTTTCAGTTTGTTTGGTGTACTTTCCTTAATATTGTTACGACAACGCAGGCCACGTGACGCTCGTATCGCCCCACTTCCTTCTCGAACCTTCATGAAATGTCGGGAGACTACTAGATTGGAGTAGTCTTGTATATATATAAGACCGGCCAAGAAGCAACGTAAGGCAATGAGTAAGAATATTGTTGAGCACGTGAGAAGTTCGTTGTGAATTATAGCGTTTGTTACAGAGCGACTGTTGGTTTAATGTAAGTGGCTATTGTTCGGGACGAACAATACTAAGGAAGGGGCAGTGTTACAACAACGCAGGTCACGTGATGCTCGGATCGCCCCATTTCTTTCTCGAACCTTCATGAAATGTCGGGAGACTACTAGACTGGGGTAGTCTTGTATATATATAAGACCG